CACCCACCCCCTGGATAACCAAACCCCCCCGGCCCCAGGGTTGCCTGCTGCTGCATCAGCTGCGGGGGCACCGGGGGGCACCGGGGCTGGCACTGGGACCACCGACTGACCCCCCCTCGGGACCACCGACCCACCCCCGGGACCACCGACCCACCCCTGGGATCACTGACCCCCTGGTACCACTGACCCCCCGGCCCCAGGGCCACCTGCTGCTGCATCAGCTGGGGGGGCACTGGGGGGCACCGGGGCTGGCACTGGGACCACCGACTGACCCCCCCTCGGGACCACCGACCCACCCCCGGGACCACCGACCCACCCCTGGGATCACTGACCCCCTGGTACCACTGACCCCCCGGCCCCAGGGCCACCTGCTGCTGCTTCAGCTGTACCGGGGGGCATCGGGGCTGGCACTGGGACCACCGACTGACCCCCCCTGGGGACCACCGACCCACCCCCGGGACCACCCACCCACCCCCGGCATCACCCACTCCCTGGATCACCCACCACCCCTGGCACCAGGGCCGCCTGCTGCTGCATCAGCTGTACCAGGGGGCATCGGGGCTGGCACCAGGACCATCGACTGACCCCCCCTCGGGACCACCGAACCACCCCCAGGACCACCCACCCACCCCCTCCGGGCACCAGGGACACGCCTGGCACTGGCATGGCCACTACCCAGTGTCCATCCCTTCCCAGTGTCCATCACCCCAGTGGATTTTCGGGGTGGTCCTGCCCCCTGTGCCCCCTGTGCCCCCTGTTCCCCCCATTCCTCCCATACCCCCCCATATCCCTCCGTGCCCCCCTTACCACCTGCATGTAGGCACTGTAACCCCCCTGCCCCCCGTTCCCCCCATATCCCCCTGTGCCCCCCATACCCCTCATACCCCCATACCCCCCAGTGCCCCCTATACCCTCCCCGGGTCCCTCATGCCCTTATACCCCCCATACCTCCCATACCCCCCCTGTGCCCCCCATACCCCCACTACCCCCATACCCCCTGTACGCCCTTGTTCCCCTCATGTCCCCATACCCCCCATACCCCCCTGTGCCCCACACACCCCCTATACCCCCCTGTGCCCCCCATACCCTCCATACCCCCCATACCCCCTGTACCCCCCATACCCCCCTGTGCTCCTCATCCCCCCGATGTCCCCTATACCCCCCATACCCCCCTGTACCCCCTATACCCTCTGGTGTCCCCCATGCCCCTCCATACCCTCCATATCCCCCTGTGCCCCCCATATGCCCTGTGCCCCCCATACCCCCCTGTGCCCCCTATACCCCCCATACCACCCCTGTGCCCCTCATACCCCCAATGCCCCTCATACTCCCCATACCCTCCCATACCCCCTGTACCCCCCATACCCCCCCATGTCCCCCATACCCCCCTGGTGCCCCCCATACCCCCCGTGCCCCCCGTACCGCCTGCGTGTAGGCGCTGTAGGCGCCGAACTGGAGGGCGATGGGGCTGAACATGCCCAGCTGGGAGGCGACCTGCTGCATCCGCCGCAGCCCCCGCTCCTTCTCCGTGTCCGCAAACTTCACCACCAGGCTCGACGACGCGCCCTGGGGACACCGGGACACACGTCGGGGGGGACATTGGGGTGGGGGGACACCCGTTAGGGGGACACTGGGACACCGGGACACACATCGGGGGGATACCGGACAGGAGGACACCGGGGACATGGGGACACCCATCAGGGGGACACCGGGACACCCATCAGGGGGACGCCGGGCAGGGGGGCACCGGGACACACGTCAGGGGGACATTGGGGCGGGGGGGACACCGGGACACACGTCAGGGGGACATTGGGGTGGAGGGACACCCATCAGGGGGACACCGGGACACCCATCAGGGAGACACCGGGGACACCGGGACACCGATCGGGGGTACACCGGGACACCCATCAGGGGAACACCAGGCAGGGGGACACCGGGACACCCATCACAGGGACACCGGGGCAAGGGGACATCGGGACACACATCAGGGGGATACCGGGACACCGGGACACCCACTGGGGGGACACAGGGCAGGGGGACACTGGGGCACCCATCAGGGGGACACCGGGGACACCGGGACACCCATCGGTGGGACTCCAGGGCAGGGGGACACCGGGACACCCACTGGGGGGACACCGGGACACCAGGACACCCGTTAGGGGGACACTGGGACACCCATCAGGGGGACAGTGGGGTGGGGGACATTGGGATGGGGGGGACATAAATCGAGGGGACACAGGGTGGGGGGACACCGGGGAGGGGGGACATTGGGGCAGGGGGACACTGGGGCTGGGGGGACACAAATCAGGGTGACACAGGGTGAGGGGATGCTAAAGGGGAGGATGATGAAGGGGGGATGAAGAAGGGGAGGATGCTGAGGATGAAGAAGAGGATGATGCTGAGGATACCGAGGATGATGAAGGGGATGATCCTGAGGACACTGAGGATGAGGAAGAGGATGCTGCTGAGGATGAGGAAGAAGATGCTGCTGAGGATGAAGAAGGGGCAATGCCGAGCATGCTGAGGATGAGGAAGGGCGGTGCCGAGGATGATGAAGAGGAAGATGCTGAGGATGAGGAAGGGGACAATGGAGATGCTGACGGGGAGGATGAAGAAGGGAATGCCGAGGATGAAGAAGGGGATGATGCTGAGGATGAGGAAGGGGCAGTGTTGAGGATGCTGAGGATGAGGAAGAGGAGGATGATGAAGGGGAAGATGCTGAGATTGAAGAGGAGGATGATGCCGAGGATGTTGAGGATGATGAAGGGGATGATGCTGAGGATGAGGAAGGGCAGTGCCGAGGATGCTGAGGATGAAGAAGAGGATGATGCTGAGGACACTGAGGATGAGGAAGGGCGGTGCTGAGGATGAAGAAGGGGCAGTGCTGAGGATGCTGAGGATGAGGAAGGGGATGATGCTGAGGATGAAGAAGGGGCAGTGCTGAGGATGAAGAAGGGGCAATGCCAGGGGGGCTGGGGAGGGGGGAGGGGAGGATGCTGAGGATGAAGAAGGGGTAGTGCTGAGGATGCCGAGGATGATGAAGGGCAGTGCTGAGGATGCTGCTGAGGCTGAAGAAGGGGAGGATGCTGAGGATGAGGAAGAGCAGTGCGGAGGATGACGAAGGGGAGGATGCTGAGGATGATGAAGGGCAGTGCTGAGGATGACGAAGGGGATGATGCTGAGGATGAAGAGGAGGATGAGGAAGGGGATGCTGCTGAGGATGATGAAGGGGGTGCTGAAGGCCGTTCTGGGCGCTCACCGGCAGCGTGCGGCTCCCGTGCAGGGCAGCGATGGCCGCCTGGGCCTCCGCGTGGCTCTGGAACTTCACGAAGGCGCAGCCTGGGGGGGG